GGTCAAACAGCGACCCTGGAAGGACATCACTAAACACTTTGTACAAGGTAGACGTTTGTGAAATTACGCCAACACGTACTGCTTTTTTTATTTTTTCTTTAATATATGTGTTCAAATTTCACTCGAGGGCTAAGCAGTAGTCGGCGCCTTGCTTGTGCGCTAGCATCTCGTTTTATACCAAATCAATAAAAAAACGTAATATTGAGGCAAATGGCTGTACAGGAGATTTACAACCGATGAGTCAAGATTAAATTGCGCAAGTTAACCAAATCAGTCAGTGGCTCACTACACCAAGAGCTTTGCACAGGCCACAGTAGACTAAGTCAGCATATCTTTTCCGAGGAATAAGCGTGGAGATCTGCGTCCTGAAACTAGCAAGGTTTGTGATACTCGAGCGACTATACTGAGAAACCCACGTTGAATATGATTCAATGAGCTCTTCACACCAAAAGACACTATATCAGGAAAAGTCTGCTCGGAGATATTTGATGTGACACATTGTGATGTAGCAGATGGTACAGAAATGGGGTGATAGTTAGAAGCACCAGTTTTAGAGCCCGTAATAAACATAGAATGTCCTGAAATTAACCAGAGGGGACTCTGGCGCTACGATCATTCAGCCACCATGGGAATGATGGGTGGCACATGGATTTGCCTAGTCTTCGGGCTTGCGGGCTTCGAAAGCATTTGTGGCTTTGGTGAATTCTATGTTTTGGTTTTGTTTAGAATAAAAGAACTTCGTGACCTGATTTCAATTGATGATCATGAAAGGTTAAAGTGGTGAAGTGCAACTGTTTACCATTTGCTGATTTTTCTTATCATTCCCATACTCGCTGAAGCACCATGCGTTGCAGCTCCCATCGACACTAGCACTAGAGTTCCCTCTAGTGTATTTACAGAAAACTCTATGGTAATCAATACTAGAAAAACATAAACAGTTTTCCAAGTGCTAGGAAATGTGGAAGTGCGTATTAAATGTCGCGAAGAATACAGGGACAATTATACTACCATAATAAGCCTTTAGTATAGCGCAAAGATGTCATCGGAGCCACTTGATAAGGACGATTTTAGGCGCTCAGTGCATTCACCACTGATATTGTCATGTAGCGACAAAGCACTAGATGTATTCTCGGACTGTTGTTCAATAGAAGTGCTAGAGTTAGACCCTTATAAACAGATAAGAAATGCGTGGTGAAACAGTCAGCGATGGCGTGTACTTTTACTCAGTTTGAGTTCGGTGAAGAATGATCATCCACTTTTACTAGTCATTCATGCACACACTTCCACAATCAGCCAGCTCGTCAGAGGCACTTTTTTTCCGAAAATTCGGCATATGAACTGACGTCCAATTTGAGAGACGCTTAGAGAGAGTTCGAAAAAAAAATCAGCCCCGCATGTTTCACTGCAAACGTCATCGAAAGAAAATAGTCTTGCGTCTGTAGAAAGGAAACACAACGTTTATTTGATAAACAATTGTATCGGGCCAGTTGATATGAATCCATCTTGCTAGGAGGTGCAGCAACTATTACACAGAACACAAGCGCTTGTGTTGTGTGTTCCGTGTAATAGTTGCTGCGCTTCCTACCAAGATAGTTGATTTGATGTTCTGCGCGAGAAAACCGGTGACTTGTATTCTGTAGGCGCTGCGTTAGAATGCCTCGATCTGTGCAGTGAAGGTGAACGAACGCATCGAGGCACGTCAGACACGAGCGTTATCTGGCAGTTATCTTCGAAAACGAAGTAAAGCGTGCGCGCCTGTCTCGGAGGCGATAAGGTGTAAAACTCAAAGCTACAGGCAGGTGCCACCACCGTGTCGTCTTAGCCAAGCGTTGGAAACACTTGCCTTTTTGTGCATAGCGTTGCATTGTCACCGTAGCGTCATAAACGCTACGGTCCTCATAATTACTGATGTAAGCATTCTCTAGTTTAAAGACACACATACAAAATGTTGACGTGTTGTTATGGTGCCTCAGATATGCGCAATAGTTGCTTTCTAATTCACAATCGCACAAGTATGAACGCTGAAACTTGAGCAATATTGGTGGGCGCTGCAGATGGGGTTGGCCGTTTGGGGTATCGTTACGGCGGACAGACAGACAGACAGACAGACAGACAGACAGACCAAAGTTTTTGCGTCGAAATACCCCAAGAAAGGCTATCGTCTTTAAATCTGACCTCTTCCTCCCACTCACTGTATGGAGAACATTTCGACTGCTTTTGCGCGCGATATCTATGTTTCAGTGCACTTATATTTCAGATGAGAACTAGTGGCGATATATTTAGTTGTTTAGGGTATATTGGGAAACAAAATTGCACATGCTGATCAATATAAGCTCCGTAGGCTAACCAACTTGGTCATTACATTTTGTTTATCAGTAACCTGTGACCAATCAATGGTAAGCATGTATTGATATAGGCCCATGCAATCACCTTGTTTGAAAGCAAGTCTTGGAGACTTGTCCGTGTAATGCTGTAGCTTTTTGTTTCGGCTGACACAGATAATCTTATAGGTTAAGTGGTGGGTGGAATTTGTTGAGACGAGCAATAGAGATGTCGTAGCGGGAAACGTCAACGGGTTAATCACTCGACATACATAGGTCTAAGACCATGCCACTGAAATCGACAGCTAAATCATGTTCAAGTAGGAGATCAAACGCCAGAAAGTCTAACAGCAGTCTGGCATTTTTGATGAGATTACAGTAATGAGGAAGGTAAATGGGCTTCAGTCCATTTTAAGTACATCAAAATAATCAAGAGAAGGAGATTAAGGAAAACCGGGAGATTAACAAGATTTTGGCATTCGATTTGCTACCAAAATGGGGGTGGGGAAATAGCAGCAAGGAAAGGGTGCAGAGGGAGAGAGAGGAGAAAACGTACGTGCACTTAGGAGAACAGAAAAAACGCACGAAGAAAGGGCATTCTGACAACAACCGTTCAGAAAGGTCAGTCGATAGCAAAAAACGGGCTCTGCAAGGATAACCAAGAATAATATTCTGTGTCCACTTTGAGAGGATATCACAACTTAGACGGAATATGCAATATAACGAAACGAAATAAGGGAAATGCTGACGATAAAAGAAACATCAAGTCAACAATTTGTCGTGGCGTCCAAGGTTGTTATTTAACCAGATTGATTCTGCGATAGCTTTAGTTATTTCATCTATAGTATATCTGTAAATTGTCAATGTTGATCAGCACACTACCACTTTTTTGTTAGCTTTGACTGAAATCTCAGTCACTGCGGGCAGTAATTTAGGTCGGGAGAAAAGAAGCCAGATAAGGGAATTTGAGTGCCTAGCCATGTTTCATAAATCACAATAATAAGAAAATAAAGTGAACTACCATTACAAAAAACTCGAGCGCCCTAACACTTAATTCCAGGCAACTAGCTCAAAGGAATGAAGCATGTCAGCGAACAGCTCTCCACGAAATGGCTTGAAGAGGCTAAGGAGAAACACCGAAGGGTCATGCAGGCGTTATGGAGTTTCCTCGTCAACTTTGATGCAGAATGTAGAGTACGACTAAAATTTCACTTGAAGTCACCGGTATCAGATAGGCGAGGAATCCAATAATAATAATAATAATAATAATAATAGTAATAATAATAATAATAATAATAATAATAATAATAATAATAATAATAATAATAATAATAATAATAATAATAATAATAATAATAATAATAATAATAATAATAATAACCCCTTATTTAACGTGGCTAGGAACAACCATAAAGTCTTAGTGCAGGCGCACGCAATATTAAAACAATACAATACAGACATTCTTAAGAAAAAAACACAGCATATCCACGGAGTGAATGGTGATTGGTGGGGCGAAGCGTTCATCAGTCCGTCCGTGCTTTCATCCACCTATTCGTTCTTGCTTCCGTCCGTCCATGCGTGCATCTGTGCGTCCATCCGTCCATCCGTGTGACCGTAGGTACGCCCGTCTGTCCGTGCGTCCCTCCATGCGTCCGTCCGTTCTTCCGTCTGTCCACCCATCCATCCATGCGTCTGTTCGTGCGGCCGTTCCTCTGTCTCTCTGTCCATCCGTGCGTGCGCCCGCCTCCACGTGCGTCAGCCACTCTGTCTCTCTGTGCGTACGTTAGTCCGTCCGTCTATCTGTATGTCCGTCCGTCCGTCTATCCACTGAACACTCCATGTACAGCCATCTCAAATATTTTCGTCATGTATTCCTCATATACAAGTGCCGCCATCCAGCGGGCATTCTAAGGACCGGTCTTTCAGGTATGTGCCACTGGTGGCTACATACACCAACGCAGGATGGACAGACCCACACCCTAAGGAGCTTTGCCCCTAAAATGAAATAAAGAGTAAAAGTACACAGAAAAAAGAAAACAACGCAAGTTTAAAAGAATGAAAAGACAAGACGAGAATCATGGTGAGAAAGTGGAAAAAATGGGAATATACACAACTATGTAAAAACCTTCCTGAAAGACGGCAAGGGAAGTATCTGTACATTGTGAACAATTATGTTAAGGCAGTGCAGAGTTTCAATAAAATTAACTCAATGGACTGTAAAAAATCAAGATCATAAAAGTTAACATTATATAGACTTTGTATTCTGGGAACAGTAGAGTGTAGAAAAAAATTGGTAGGTAAATAAAGTGGTCGAATCTCTCTCGTTAACTTACGTAGAATCTAAAAATTTACGCAACTGAAAATCAAGGGGTAGCATTGCATACCATGAACTAGTTTGTAAAGATATAATAGGTTAGCGCGATTTCATCAGCAGTGAGTGATGGCAATGGTAATAATGTGGCAGTATTATATAGAACGAGATCCATATATTAATTTCTAGCGAAACGATTATTGTAAATGCTTTCGAATTTTTTCTGAACTCGCTAAATAGCGTCACTGCCAGACTTAGCAATGCCATTCGATCAGAGACGCATATTGAAGTTGAGGAAGACATACGGTGGTCTACAATTTGCGGAAGGCTGTAGGAGAAATAATTCTCGAGAGATTCTACAAATGCAGCTCAGAGAATGAAGGCCACGCATGGCAGCACGTTTAGTGTGAGCAGAAAAAAAATAACATGCTATCAAAAAGAACATTTCTAAAGTTGACAATACAATATTATGATCAGATATGTCATCGAAAATATCTATTGTTAGATGCCTCCTTAAAAGCTCAAGGGAAACAAGAAAAAGTCATTCAACACCGGTACTAAAATTATTAGCCTAAAAGATATTTTTTAGGCCTATATTGGAGCATGCTGCGGCGGCCTCGGATTCCTGGACAGCCTCTAATAAAGGGAAACTAAAAAATGCCCAACGCAAATATTTTAGGTTCATTTAATACATTTATAGTTGGAAAACATCTTCATCACACCTCCTACAGAAAGCAGAACTTCAGAACCTTGAAACAAGGCACTATCACGACAGGCTAAAGCTTTGTTATTTGTTTTAATACAAAAAGTTACGGGCTCATTCATCTGAACTAATAGCACCCGCCATTGGCCACTTAACTCGGTCTTTTCACACACAAAGAAGGGGCAGAGCTGAGGTGCAGAACGAACACTTTTCTGTACTCTTTCTTCCCTCGGGCAGTTGTCGAATGGAACACCTTACCTTGCGATGTGGTAGCACGGCAAAGCATTCTTTCTTTTATGCATGCGATAATAGAGATATGACTCGGTAGGCGCTACTGCACTTGGTGGGGCATAATGTGACCTCATGTATTACCTTGTTTTGCGATGTTCGAATGAATGCTGAAACTTTTTTAGAGGCGAAGCTCCTTAGGGCGTGGGCGGTGCGTCCCCTGTAGCCTGTATGTAACCACCTCTAGTTTAGTTCTTGCAGTGTTCACTAGATGGCGGTACCGTCCCCTGTATGAAGCCACCTCTAGTTTAGTTCTTGCAGTGTTCACTAGATGGCGGTACCGTCTCCTGTATGTAGCCACCTCTCGTTTAGTTCTTGTAGTGTTTACTAGATGGTGGTACTTGTAGCTGATGATGAAAAGATGCAAGATGTTATAAACTAGAAAGCGGTACTTGTAGTTGATGAAAGACGCGAGATCTTATAAAATAGGAATGATGTCACATATGGCGCGTGTCATTGGTTGAAGGCAATCGTTCGATTTAGTGCGGCGACGTACGCTAGGGGGAGCGTTGTAATAAAATCCGTTCGCTGTTGGCGCGCGCTCGCAGTCGCCGGATGGATAAGGCTGCACAGCGGAGAGAGCGCAAGGCGGCAGCAGCGCGCGCTCGCAGACAGAATCCCGATGTGCGAGCGCGCGAAGCAGAAGCGCTCCGTGAAGCTGCGTGACGCCGCCGCCAAGATCCTGCCGTACGTGAAAAAGAGGCTGCAGCGGCGCGACGCCCGATCATCATGTAAAGACGTGAGAAACACACAGCGTTTCTCACGTCTTTACATGATGATCGACTGGGCGAATTACACGGAAGATTCACAGTTTACCGATGAATCCCTCCGGAGCTTCGCCCATTCATCATCATTCACCCCGTGAATATGCCGTAATTTTTTTGTGTGTGCTATGTGAGTGCGGGATCAGTGCTTGTATGGGCTCTATGCTGTATGGACTATTGTAATACGGTTGGTTTGCAACGTTACTAGATGTTATAAACTAGACGGCGGTACGTGTAGTTGATTATGAAAGATGCGAGGTGTTATAAAATAGGAATGATGCCACATATGGCGCGTGTCATCGTTCGATATAGTGTGGCGACGTACGCTAGGGGGAGCGTTGCAATAAAATCCAGTGGGCAAAATGTACGGAGGATTCATGGTTTACCAGGTTTGCCTCCGGAGCTTCGCCCACTCATCATCATTCACTTCGTGGATATGGCGGCATTTTTTTTCATATTGTTGTTTTTTGGCATTTGTGAACGTCACTATTTCACAATATATCACTTCAGGCACTTTTTATTTTTTTTATTTTTCCTTGCTTATGTTGCGTTACTTACTTATGCCCCAATTCTGCCTAAGGCCTTCATGGAAGGCCGGCAGTATGTAACAAGATAGATAGATAGATAGATAGATAGATAGATAGATAGATAGATAGATAGATAGATAGATTAGATAGATAGATAGATAGATAATTAAACACCAAGATCACTGCATTTGTATACCTTACATAAGGACATGATATTGACAAAGTATGCAAATGACACGATGGATGTTTTACGAGATATATACTCGTGAATTCGCTCTTTGAAGTATTCAGACAAAGGTTATTCTCATCACACCATTCGGAGAAAGAACACATATCTGACTGCAGCAAGCGACAGTCGTTAACTGAATAAATTTCCTTTTATATCTTGATGTCATCAACATATAAGAGAAAAAAATAATAATTCTCTACTGCTAATATTGCTACTGCTACTACAAATAATAGTAATAATAAGTTGTTTTCCATCTTTTCCCAGAAATATCACTCTAGCAAAAAGTCATCTTTCGAAACTTTTATGTAGATACACGCGTACATGCTCCTAATTCGTGTACTTTTTTTCAGACATTCACTCTCGGTGACCTTATGCAGACCGCACCATTTGGACAAGCCGTCGTCATTGTGACGCTGTATGGCTATCAACTTCGTGAAATGTTCGAGCACTCTGTGGCGAATTACAGTTATGTAAATAGAAAGGGCCAATTTCTGCAAGTTTCTGGTAGGTGAATGGTGTCATAAAATCACATTTAGGCATGACAAAAGATATTCTGCACAATGCCCTCTTAGGCCATTTTTTTAAACTTTGTCGCAGATCTCATCGCAACTCAGTGCGAGAAATTTAGAAAAAAGTGCAATTCAAATTATTGCTGGAGTTTCAAAAAGTTGCACTTGCCAACGCTGATAGCCAACTTTTCTTAAATACCATCTGCAGTAGCTTGGCCAGAAATTTTTTCAAAGGAGGTGATGAATATCAACCATCCTCATTGCATGTTCGTGCATTGCGTTTGTATGTAGTACGTGTATATAGATATAGAAATTAAAAAAATTGTTGGACCATCTCTCCGATGGGAACCCTGGTGGAATACGAAGCAGCAGCGTTGCGAACGGGTTGAAAGGCGCTCACCCGGGTGCTGCGGTGGGCCCTGGATGATGCGTTTGAAGTGACGGTTGGCGTAGGTATTGTAGGTGACACGTACAGACATGTCTTAACGCGTACGTTAGGTGTGAGTCAGGTTTATTGCGCATGAATAGACGAGTCGGCGGTGTTACAGTATTAGAAGGGGCAGTGGAATGAAGGAGGCGGACGCGCCGCATCTCGGCTGACTCTCCGGCGGGTGACAGTAGCGGCGGCGCTGTAGTCGCATGGTACTGAAGATCTCAGGAGCGTCTGCGTTGGGAGCGTGCGCACTGTAGCCTGCGATAGCGTGTAATTGCTCGCTTTTACCGACTTGCTTTTATTGCGGCATCCGTGGTCATATTTCAAGGTTTTGCCGACGCCGTCAACAAGACGAAAGACGAAGCTACGGTGACTATGAACGGGACGACTTCTACCCAACTGGACCACCCTATCGCCGACAGTATCAAAACAGCCCACGCCGGTCGCCGTCTCCGCAGAACTTTGCCTCAGTTGGCAGGTCCCGTTTCTCACGTCGTCGCTTTTTTCACGTCGTACTCACGTTTCGTACTCACGTCGTACTCACGTAGTACGACGTTTCTCACGTCGTACTACTTTGGACGCCTGTTCGTACACCCGGATTGTGTGAAAAGTTTCAGTCACGTTTTCTCGGACCTTACGTTGTTAGTGAACGAACATCTCCTGTCAATTACCTTGTCACTCCCGTCGAGGGTTCCCCGGACCGTCGTTACCGTGCATCCGAGATAGTTCACGTTTCACGCCTTAAACCTTTTGTTTGCCGTACCTTTCCCGCCTAAGTCTCGGCCGGGTCGGCCGATCAAGTGAGCGGGGAAAATAAGTGTGAGCATCATTACTCGTTCCATCTTTTCAGCTGTACATACTCATCATCACCACTCCAGTTTAGGTTGTGGGGCACATACTCGAGACAATAAAGAAGAGTCTTGAGGGTACTGGACGACGCCATCTTACAATATATATATATATATATATATATATATATATATATATATATATATATATATATATATATATATATATATATATATATGTATGTATTCCTAATAACAATATCCATGCAGTGCCCCTTAGCACAGCTTCTATATTTAGGCGGTGGATTTCTCGTCCGACTACGTTACACTTCAACTAGTTTTAAGACGTCATACTGTCGAAAAGGTTAAATTTACAGAGCGCATTTGTACAGAGCCATGCTATATTCAGCTTCGCTCACTGTGAACGTTCGGCGCAAGGCTACCTAGAATTTTTTTTCGAGGGGGGGATGCAGCATAACGACTAACTTTGGCAATAGGGAGTCACTGTGAATGCGTGTTAATAACTAGTATACCCTGAAAAGTTAAATTACAAAACAATCTTGTGTTGTAGGGAGTTCAGAATCCCTTCCTCTCCCCTCTCTACTTATGGCCTCCTGGTTCTGCGTGCACGCGTTTGAAATGGTACTTTTTTTTAACCTCACAGCTTTCTGAGCACAGCTAACTTCCAATAAATCGGCTCAGTTATTCTGAATATTGTGAAGCCTAACCACCGAAAAAAGAGCTCAGACAGAAGAGATCAGTATAAAACACGCCCTTTCTGAATTATTTTCGATCTTTCACAAGGGCTTTTATGGAGCTCAAATTCAGTAGAACTTGAGCTCCATAAAAGGGCCCCTTTGAAGTGGATGCACCCCCTTTGACGCTTGGTGGCACACCCCCATCCCGACAGTTAACTTGCGTTATCAATGACTAAACAGACATTTGTGGTAGTTGGCAGAGAAAGCGTAACTACAGGAACAGGTGCCATTGCCAGACGAGCTTTGAATATAGGACGCAGAACGTCGGTTAACGTCGATATCCATGCAGTCGCATGTTAGCGTGTGACCGAACACCACGGCTAGACTGGAAACGCAAAGCACTTCGTGTCATCCCTGTATTCGGACCGCGATTTTTTTTTTCGGGGTGAGAGTAAGCGGGAAAGGTGGTATTAAAGCCAGGTGAAGCTGGCACGCATCGCAGATATATTACGTGCGAAGCAGCTGTTTGACTAGCCTGTGTAACGTTTTCCATCCGTGTCTCCGTGTTAACCCGCCGCACCGCGTTACCCCCACTGCGGTTCTTGCAGAGATGCCAAGTAGGTGGTGGTAGTGGTTAGAAGAGGAAAAAGGCACCTAATTTCTGCAGTCCGGTAGGGAGTACGGCGCAGTGCTTATGCCAAATAGGTCAAGTCGTAGCTGCGCGTTGGCGTCACACTTTCTCTCACCAGCGCAGCTGCCGGCTCCTCCCAACACACATAGGCGGTGTTGCTCGACCGCACGTCTAGTGAAAACACTCTTTTGGCTCGTTTATCTGCGATGAAGCTTACATGAAACCAAACACGCCTATCGTGTCCTTGCGTTTCAAAGAAACGTTTACTCGACATCGAGTTTCGCCTCAAAGCGTTCTTCCAGCACCCGTGTCGACGTCCGTTTTAGCCGCCTCAACAGCGTGCGCACCACTGCTGCTTCGCATCCCATCATGGTTCCCTTTGGGGAGATAGTTCATAATTAATTAGGGGCGAAGCTCCTTACACCCTGAGTCGTATGTCTCGTGTCGTAGTCGTTCGTAGTAGTCAGTGCGAAACTCCTTACGCCGTGGGTCGTATGTTCCTTGTCGTCATCGTCGTAGTAGCCAGTAGCCGTCCGTTTGTCCGTGCGCTCATCCGTACATTCGTGCGCCCGTTCGTGCATCCGTCCGTGTGTGCGTGCATTCGTCCGTGCGTCCTTCCATACGTCCGTCTGTCTGCTTCGTCCGCGCAAATGAAGGTCCCTATCACACTTGGGCTAGCAGCGCCACCACACTGCGCATCTCCTACTGAAAACGCAGCGATCTGGAAGGACACGTATACACACGCGTTGCTGGTGCTAATCACGGAGGCCTCAGTAATGCTAAAGTACTTAATTTTACCGCTTCTAGGAGGCGACACTACCCCGCTGACCAAGAGTACTGTGAGAAGAAAGTGCGAAATACGAAAGGCGCCTTTGTAAAGCCTACACAGTGTGTGACCATGACGCAGTGGGTAGCGTGCCCGACATCTGTGATACAGTGTACTAGAAGAAAACAGTGGGCCTACTCCGCTGCTCCTTTGACGCAGCTGGCGTCGCATAAGAAAGATGGCGCCGGAAACAACTTCATTTGAACTTTCGCATGCAAAGCTGCTCGTCGTTGGCCGCACGCGAGTTGTGACGTGTGTTTCTTTGATATTTAAAATATTGTTGCGTTTCTTGATGGCCGTCTTACTATAATGAGGGTGTGCGTAGCCCCCGGTTCGTCGTTTTCCAATTTTCTTCTGCGGTAGAGTTTGTCTTAAGTCAGTCTGATGGCAGTCAACGCAGCCTATGTCTTTTTTTTAATGCTACGCAGTTCTTTTTATTTATGCTACGCCTTCTTTTTATTTATCTTGGTACGCTTAAGTTCATTGGATATTTTGACAAGCTCCATCTGTTTATAACCCATCATAATTGTCCCTCTATTGTCCCTACATGGTGCCTCACGGAAAATGACGGTGTACACTTCAAAACTTGCGGTTTCATGTGGTCCGCAAATATGTAGTTTCATGCCCTGTAGACAAAACCTAAAAATGTTTTATATCAAGATTATGCAAAAATTTTGCCTTCCACTAGAAAATTAGAAAATCGATCAAACCCGCTTGTTTGCCGAGCTTAATAATGCAGGTATGCTGGCTGGCTTTGTGCCTTCACCATGGTAAAATGAAATTATAGCTTAAATATTATTTGTTTCGCTTCGGTGGCTGCACATGAGAAAGTAATTTCGAGGGGCTATTGTTATTCATCAGTATGCTGTTACTTATGCTTGTTATGCAACAGTGACGTATTGGTAAACGAAATTAACATACGAATCGCCCATTTACAAGAAGTGAAGTACAATATCCAGCTATTGGTTTATGCACTTTATTCTATGTACAATGACTCAGCTTCAGCTGCTTCGTCATCTACCGTTTTCCTGGTTTGTCACTATTCAGTCCTTTCCCATAAAAATGAAGCTGTTTGAAAAGGTAAGAACAGATTACTATCGCTGTGAGGGTAGCAGCGTGCACACTGCACAAGCACTTTCTCGAAGAGCACTTCGGCATTAGTGGTCAACACTGCCTTGCTGTATAACACCGGGGTGACCTGAAAAGTTGTGTTGCGTACACCTTAAGGCTGCTAAAAAAAGAAAACTACGTGCTACAACGTCCCCCGCAATAAAACGTGGCTCGACAACGGCTGTTCTCGATGAGCTCGTCGGCTCTTTTCAGCCGCAGCGCTCCTTCCAAGTGCTATTGATGGCGATGCCAGCGCCACCACCAGGGTGGAAAGAGAACCACAAATTGGCCACGTTTGTGGAGCCACCCCACCCTTTAGCCTCCGCGGCAGAGTGAGCCCACTGCCCCATTCTAGTACACTGTTTCTGTGGCTGCGAACCCAGTGGTCGTGGGTTCAATGGCCGTTGACGGAACTTCTAACACGAAAGTGTTTTCTGCCGGGGTCCACCACTGCTCCGCTAACGTATTTCTCTCACGGATATCACGTTGTAAATTGTATACTTACACACTGAAAAGGAAAAAGCAAGGTGTCGAATCAGCGATCTCTTGCCTCTGAACGCGCAATGCTAACCACTCGACCACACAACGTGCTTTTTTTTCCTTTATTGCCAGATATTGACACACTTTCCCACCGCCGCAACTTCGGCATGCGGCTCATATAATCAAACTTTCGTTTTCACAAGAGACACGTGGGGGACACCCGTTACGCGCTAGGCGCGTCCTGCAGGACTAAAATAAAGGTTTTTCATTCCAATTCATTGATGTCAACGCTTCTCCATATTCCAATTTCCGAAATACTTTCCTGAGTTTACTTACAGAGTCAGTAAAGAATGAATTCGCTGATCTAATATTTACATCACAATTCCGAACAGCCATAAGATTTTTACAGATTCTATGAAGGCCAAGCAGCAAAAACATCTCATAAGGTATTATACCTTTACCTGCAGTTAAATACCTAATCCCGTGTGGTGTTAGCAATAACTCCTTTTTCAGGCTTATTTGCATAATATATCCCAAAATAAAACCGCTCTTTAGCTGTCCAGAAACACATGTTCGATAGATTCAGGTTTCCTACAAAGCAAACAATCAGTACCACATGGTCGATACTCTTTTCTCTAGTCACGTCTTTGCAAGCAAGGTATTAGCATGGAGCTTAAAAAAGAATGTTTGCACACCTCCTTGCACAAGCATTCGTTTCACACGCTTCAGGACATCTTTCCCTGGCCTCCGCTGTACAATGTCCGGTACAAATGTTCTGTGACCATAATGTCTATCAAATCTGAATTTAAACACTTGCGTGTTACTGTACCCAAATATTCATTAATAAAGTGGTAGTTTAAAAGTGTGCCCCACCGCGGTTTTTTTGTGGCTAAGGCACTCGGATACTGACCCGCAGGTCATGGGATCGAATGCCCACTGTGGCGGCTGCATTTTCGATGGAGGTGGAAATGCTGTAGGCCCGTGGGCTCAGATTTGGGTGCACGTTAAAGAGCACTAGATGGTCTAAATTTCCGGAGCCCTCCACTACGACGTCTCTCGTAATCATATGGTAGTTTTGGGACGTTAAACTCTACATATCAATCAAATCATTCAGCTTAAAATTCTGGATGCCATCACAAATTCACACAAATATTTACTGGTCGTGTAGCAGCTACCTTCTCTCATCGAGACAAAAAACTTGGGCAAAACATTGCTTAATTGTATTTGAATAACTGTTCTCAAAAAGGATTTGTCTTGTCACGCAAAAACAAAAATCCAGAGGCAAGTTGTTTTAAAAATAAATTCGGCAGTTTTAAACCTTCTCTGACTCAACTTGCGAAACAAGTTGTTTCTGCTTGTCCCTTCATATTGTGACTGTCATACCAAAACAGCAAATATTCTATGAAAATTTGTAAAGGTCAATCTAGAGCAGCTGAAAAATTGCAGGGGAAGGACCAGCTTACTCGCCATGAAGATCCTCCAAACGGCCGCGTGTGCGAAAACTAAGAAGCCCCGACTTCCTCATTTATCAGCTTGAGATTTCAAATCCTGTATCATTCCATTCCACAAATTTCTGCTGCCTCGATGTGTGCCTAGTGGTACACCAAGATAAATCCCAGGTGCTCGTGTCTACCGCATGCTTTCAAAAACTCTTGGCGTAGCGTGCCATTGACCATGCCATACACCAATGCACTTACTGAGGTTCACATTGCTACCTCTCATGCCACAAAACTCACGATTAACTTTCATGGAAGCTGCAACACTCTCCTTATGAGAGCACAAAACATCACCAGCGTAACCCAATAAGCGCAATTCACCACCTTTTAGGCCGAAGTCACGTACATCTGGACTGCCAATTATCTTTTTTGCACAACGCCTCTAAATACATTGCAATAATAAGAGGTCACAGTGGACAACCTTGATGCACAGAGAAGCGCACTTCAATTTTTCTGTCAGCTCATGAGTGATAATGAGCTTAGTCGTACAGTTGTCGTATGGAATTTTAGCATCTTGTGTTCTTATTGCGACAACTCTAACATACTCAAGAATATATAACAAGAGATCACGACTTACACAGTAAAGTGCCTTTTCTAAGTCAATCTCCACTACAGTGACTTTCTTAAAATCTGCCTCACACGTTTCAACGATGCTGTGAGCCACGTGAATATTTGTGAATATCGACCTTCCTTCTATACATGTCTTATGCAGACCTACTATATCGCTGATAACATCCTGTAATCTACTCACTAATACCTTAATTATTATTTTATAATCTACATTTGTCAGGGTAATTTGTCTATAGCCGGTGACTTTGTTAGGCTTATTCTTATCGTCATTCTTTGGTATCAATACTGTATAAGCTCTTTGGAAAACAGTGGAAGGCATCCGGTTTGATACGCCCCCTTAAGCGCCCGTTCAAGTAGCGCGGATAACTGTGGACAGAGAACTTTGTAAAATGCTGCTGTTAGACCGTAATGACCTGGAGACCTTCCTAGATTAAGGGTTGCTATAGACATTTCAATCTACTTAGTTGTGATATCTACTGATAACCTTTCCGTTTTTTCGTCGTCTAATTTATGAAAGTAGATAAGCAATTGTTCGCATAACCGGTACTTTACGCTTGAACGGCTCTTTGTAATTATTACTCCTCAAAGTCTAATATGTTTTGCATGTCCAGATACATTCCCGTTGTATTAAACCTAAAGCGTTTGATTCTTCTTACGTACGTTGTCAGGGGTGCTAATGGGAAGTCATTTATATACACCTTGTACCATTCGGAGGGCCTCATAGCTTCTACACAGCAGCGCGTTTTCGTCATTAGTAGTGAGGTGACGCCGAGAGCGCATTGGGTAAAGCGTTTGGTAGCGTTGGGCCCGCTCCATCTCGCATTTCAGAGAGCGCCACCTCCACGGAGCATGGTCTCTCCGCGCGCGCGCATATCAGACTCGTGATTCGGTAGTGCATGAAGGTCACACCCCTCGCTGCCGCGGCCGCGTTTACGAAAGGAGCACGCTGCTCGCACACGAAGAAATAATCCTGACAGTTGTTCGCGCTTGTCTTGTGTATACTTGTGCGTTAATTTCATGTGTCTTTCCTTCTGTTTGAAATGCGCGCCTTAAATGTGAAGCTGTGACAGTTCACAGTCCATGCTCGTCCTGTGTATACTCATTTCACACATGCTTTTTGTTCGAGGTACGCACTGCAAGTTTCGAGCTGTTTGTCGTTATTCGCATGACTTTGCAATTTGTTGCCGTAGCATTCATTTTTTCGCTCTTGTGGCGAAACAACGCCAGACAAACGCTCAACTACCCCTGTACAGACACGCTTCACTTTTCGTGTTATACCGATTCCTAAAAAGGGGGATCAGACACATCTTTTGTGCATCTTCAAACACTTCACCAAGATAAGCCTGCATAAATGCTTTCATATTTCAGTTCTCGGGCGACTGAATGGTCTACGTTGTATCTGTTAGTATGGATGCCTTAGAGGAGGAATCACTGACTGGTGACTGCGCAGTGATCCCAGTGTTTTGCCGGATGTCAAAATAAGGCACAATTGTTCCTTCGGCTGCTGATCACACCATAATTCCTAGACAGGTGCCATCAAGTATAGCGGCTGTGATACCAGTGTTAATGGAGGTGCCCGAAGACATAGCATGTTTTGCTTTGAGCAAACTCTGAAATTGAAAGTTTTATTCAAGGAGCATAATTTAACCTGCACAAGAATATTTACATGCATACACAATGAAACAATAAAGTAGATTCACCCCTAGGAAACTTGTATGACATTGCGTGAATAGCGTCCAGTGCTAATCTCATTCTTTCCCACCCGTCATCTCTCACTGCAAAGTACAGTGTGTGCAACTAGCTGCTGGCTACTCCGATGAGCCACTCCGTCATTTAACCCCTTTTTTCTATCTGTCGAGATGATAGCAATGTTTTTATTTACCATAGTATGTCGTCCTTATTAGAAAATATTCGCTGATTAGATACTGCAACTTTAGAAAAATGGGGAAAACAAATGGACAAAACGAGTGAAGCCTATTGATGGAGTTGAGACCATTCGCTCTATTGCGAGAGGACACATTGTGGCAGTGACAGTTCGAAGGAAAGTCGCTTGCGACACTGTTTTTTCGTTCTTGTCTTTTTTTCTTTACTGTACTAAGCAGTTGAAAGGTTGGTATCGAATGTGACTGTAACGTTACCGTTATTTGATGCCCTACGGTTGCTTAAATCATTGCGATGAATGTGCATAGGACGAAAGCTTATCTAAAAAACCTTGCAGAAATTTGAACCGAGACCACCAAAAGTTACTCTTTCGTTAATCTATCAAACCACACCTCAATCTATAGTTATGCAGCGTTTAGAGGCGCAAGAGCAAGCGAAGCTGAAATTTATTTTGGGCGTGTTTTTCGAATCCATAAATGCAAAGTTATGTGGGTAGCATTTCAAAATATCTGGTTCTTATATTCAACATGTTAGGTAACATATTATGGGATTTCTGTCGTTGTTTTCATACAATATGTGTTTTACAGGTCCCCTCATTTTGTTTGGCCTACTAACTAAAATATAATAGATTTTTGTATTTCATAGCTTCTTGATCAATGGCATCGTATCTTTTCATTGTATCTGTTTGTAGCGCATATGCTTTGTTCTTTTAGGTAATCTATTGCATGATGCTTGTTGGTTGATATAATCATTTACTATTGACTTGATCAAATAATCTTGAATTTTTGTGTATTTGAAATATTACCATAATATTTTTTTTCCTGCTGTGCTAACATCATAGGTATTCTTTTTTCGGACCTTCAACTAGCCTTTAGCAATAGGTCCGACAAGTGTCTGTTATCTGTAAATAGGTTATGAAATAAACATTCATTCATTCATTCATTCGTTCATTCATTCATTCATTCATTCATTCATTCATTTGTTCGTTCGTTCGTTCATTCACTGCGAAATTAAGTATAGCCTCATGCTTATCTTGTCCTTTAGGTATAAAGGTTGTCTACAATTTGACTTCGCCTCCAAACAAACGCGTTCGGTCAGTGCATATACTTTGCACGAACTGCACGGTGCCTGTCTACAAGCGGCTGGAAGATTGCGATGTATACAGAGTCGTCACCACCGACTTCGTTGCCAGAGGTGGGGATGGATTCAAGAAGGCAGAAAACGTCACGGAATCAGGTACGCTCGCGCTATTCGTTTACGTACATTTTCGTGTCAACAAACGGAATTAAGTCAGTGAATGCTAGCTGACCACTGCGCAAACATTTTAAATCTTCGTCTAGAGAGAACACCGTTACTCAAGCATTTGTGCACCTTAGGGTCAATTGACCGGAGCAGCTGTCGCGTTTCTTCTCTTTTCTGATGATGCAGTGTCTCCGTGTTTTGCAGATTATAGCGCTGCCACTAGCATATAAATCAGTGCATTTGTGTATTGTAGATATATTCCTACCAAGTCGCTTCCATTTCCATCTCCAGATGTAATCATGGTGGCAGTACGCTACACTGTGATGCTACTATCAGTTTTCCTCGTTGAGACATAAATATGGCAGAAGAATTGACAAATCGTGTCAGTGAATAACGCTGTCGTTTTCAGATACACACTCATGATGAGCCGTTAAGGTAGGCGTTTGAGATTTTAGGGCCTTAAAGATTGACTGTTTTCACTGTCAGACAACTGCCACCTTTTTCTGGTGCAACAATATGTTAATTTTTTTCTCAGTTTTGCTTGCCGCCGCCAGAAAGTCTCATCTTCGCGATTTTTACAAACTTTCATATGATGTCTTCACGTCACAAGGTTATTGTGGCTAGTCGTACCAGCTGTATTTTCTTGAAACTTTTTTGCCTCGCTGCTTAAGTTCCCCAGCATACACATTTTTTTTTACAATAACAATTCTTCTCTAAAAGACGCATGCTAATGTAGTGTTACTTGCGGAACCTGTTGCACTTTTTGTTTCTGTAGGACCTTTGGATCTGGATGTACTAAAGGAGTACGTCACTAAAATGTCACCGCTGAAAACGCCAGTAGAAGGTCGCATAACCATACATGGAAATATAACAGAAGATGTTCAAACTAAAACAACGACGGAGCGCCCACGCAAGTCGTCACTTTCAAGGTCGAGACGCGAAAAGCGAGAATGAACAATGGATGTATGATTCAGATTGTTATACATATAAAGCGATGGGGTTTTTTCTTCTGTATTTGAACAAAATAGAAAACAAACAAAACGTTTGCAATTTTAGCTCTCCGTGCGCAAAAAGAGACATAACTGGTGCTTGTACAGATTTTAAGCACCAGGTGTTTCAATGGTGCTGTTTCGCTTCTGTAGCCTGATTATCTCGGTAGCACCTTGTGCGAATTCGTAATTATTGTAAAAAGTAAAAAAAAATGTGTCCAAAAATTCTGCAAAATCTGGAAAATAAATATTTGCTGGCTGCCTTCATAGTTACCTTTTTCTGTGACGGCACATAATTTACTGGAATACATGAAGAAACTCGGCTTAATAAATTGTTAAATTAAAGCAGAGGGGCCGTCAGGTCAAATAGGATAACTGAAGTACTTTCTGCGAAGAGCCCATTGTCGCTTTAAGATTTTCAAAAAGCGACCTCAAGTAATTCTGGGGAGGGACGACATTCCATTGGGCTCACCATAAAACAAAGAGTGGAGTGTGGATGAACACAATTAGAAGATTACCAAAAAGGCGTTACAGTTTCTAAAAACTGCTAGAGTGTATACCTCTGTTAGTTGCGGATTCATTACCCTAGGTGTCTCATGCGTGCTACAAGGGTGAGCGAAACCAGGACGCTAATACTCCTGCCACACGGGCACAAGTATACGACAGCGCGCGCAGACACGACGGAAGTAGGCGATCTCTATTTCAGAAGCGTTCTTTTCTGAAAACAGAGTTCGTAAAGCTTTTTCACGGCTATAAAAGGGTAGCCTCGAAACCATGTGGGCGCCAGCGATTCGGTATCGGTGAAAGAAACCGACAAATGTTTATTCTATCACTTTGGCTCATCAAAGAAACTTATATCTTGTAAAAAAAAACGTAATAAGCCCTTTAAAACTTATTTTCTTTAGTACTATTGTAAGCAGGCCGGTATATAGGTTTGGGTTACGTGGCGAGCACGTCACACGCTCGAACAGCCCTGGACGCACACACACACACACACACACACACAAAGGCAGCTAAAGGGATCGGAGAGAGACATTGAATTTTATATAATGAAGTACGTATTCATTTATTTAAGAGTTGGTACTACAGTTTCGGTTGTGTGTTCGGAAGAGAACTATAGTTATTACAACAATGCAGTAAAAATTTTACAGCAGTAATTACAGCACTATCAAAACTTTTAACTAGTGGAAACAGCTGATCGAATTCAATGGGCGATTCAACTCCGTCCTGCTAATAGTCCATGCCACTTTGAAATTTTCGAAAGGCGGCCACTGGTAATTACCATGGAGTGATGAAATGTGGCTAATTTAATATTTATTTATTTGGTTTGTGTACATATAAAACACGAATACACAGAGGAAAGAAGGAGGGAACAGGCTGACAACTGCCCACTATAAGGGCATAACGCCTGCCTGCTCATTCAGGTACGGGAGACATTGAGGAAAGGAAAGCAAGAAAGAAAAAAAAGGAGAGAATAGGAAATACATAACACAAAACAAGTAACACACATATAACCAAATAGTTACATGAAAGAAAAAAAAAACGCCAGGCCTGCGTGGAAGGCGCAGCACAGTCGCAGCAAAAGCTTGAAGAGTGGCCTTTCAGATACTTTTCTAAGCATTCATTGGTTATAACTGCTGCAAGCACACTTCGAGAGATGTGGGGTTTAACGTCCCAAAACCACCACATGATTATGAGAGACGCCGTAGTGGAGGGCTCCGGAAATTTCGACCACCTGGGGTTCTTTAACGTGCACCCAAATCTGAGCACACGGGCCTACAACATTTCCGCCTCCATCGGAAATGCAGCCGCCGCAGCCGGGATTCGATCCCGCGACCTGCGGGTCAGCAGCCGAGTACCTTAGCCCCTAGACCACCACGGCGGGGCTGCAAGCACACTTGCCGGGTACCCACTGCGGCATAATAATTTCTAGGTAGTACACCGGCATTCGCTATGCTATTTTTGTCATTCTTCTGACAAGCGTTGCATCCGCTAAACACTTGCAAGTAATTTTGTGCGAATTGTTCATGCAGTGGCTGACAACAATGAGGTATTATGCTTGAAGTAGGTATGCGCCTAGGTAATAGGGGATCAAGAACAAGCTTTTGTAATGGTTTGGTGCATTGGACGACCCACTTGTTACGTTATTCGCATTCTGTGACGCGTCGTTGTTCCTTTGCTGTTATAAAACGCTTTATTACTCATATTAGCACGTTTCCTTTCCCGACATCAAGCCTGCTTAAGGCAAGTTTGCGAAAAAGTCTCGCGCTTCGGCGTGGCTCAGGGGTAGAATACTGGGTTGGCACGCAGCGGACCTGCTTTCGAGCCCCACTGTGTCCTCGGTACAAATTTTGTGATAGTGATTACGGACGGACACCGGCAGCGGCGGCGGACAACTACGGCACCACGCGTCACCCGAGTTTTAATCCAATAACAACTTTTGCTGTGAAAATGTCTAATAAAGCGATGCCATATTGTTCTTTTTAAATAACGCAAGGCTCGATGGGCTTGTTCACGCCTAGAAGCACATCCTCCTGGGAACAAGTAATCATCAAGGGTCGTGCACTCAAGTCCAACGACTCCACAGTTTTTTTTAGATGCGGAGCATCTAATACTCGAGGCTTGTAGTGCGGCGCCGTCCGCAAGCTTCCTCCTCCTTCTTCCACCATCTGTGCATCCCTTCCTCCTCTACACACCGCGCGCGCTTCACTCCTCCACCATCTGTGCACCCTTCCTCCTCTACACACCGCGTGCGCTTCTCCTCTTCACGAACATTCGCTAGCTGTATAATGTAGCGGCATGCGCCGTCACGCTTCGAGAACATCGGCAGCTGACGCGCGCGCATGCGCCGTTGCGCTTCGAGAACATCGGCAGCTGACAGTGCATGCGCCGTCGCGCTGTATATATACTCAAGGTCGGCGCTCGCTCGCTCAGTTGCCGCTCGTCGGTTGGTTTGTACAGCGCGTCGACGTCCAAGGTGGCGGTGAAATGAATTCCAACGAATCCACATACACAATGATCGACGTCCCTTCGACCAGCGCCGCCCTTTCGCATACGTGTGTACGTGTTCACTCATTTAACACCCCCTCCTACAACCACGTTAACCAATTTAGCCATCGACCCAAGTAAGTCGCAATTTAACACCTCATTTCACAACCACGCTAACCAATTTAGCCATCGACCCAAGTAAGTCGCACTTTAACACCCCGTTAACCAATTATATGCTCCGCATCCTCCTCAGTGTTCCCCCGAGGGAAGCTGCGGGCAATTTTTTTGTCTTTTTAGGAGTTCTCGCGGAATGCCCAACTAATAAAGGGCACTCTTTTTAAAATGACGTGTTTTAGTGTCTCCCAGGAGCCACACGATGAACATTTCAAACTGTCAGCACGTCCTTGACGGTATAATCGTTCGCGCACTGACACAAAACCAACTCTTAGCATACACTATAGAGCTCGTCACGGCAACTCAATCCACGACCACAAATATCAGCAGGAAACACTCAGCTTGCGACACGCTAACCGGCATGAAATTTCTTGGTAGTCACACTCGTTATGGGCACAAGTTAAAGCGAGGTGATCAGCCTCTTCATTCTCAGGAATGCCAACATGCGAATCTATCCACTAGCTAAGTAGGGGCACCACACGAGTAATAAGGTTTGTGGCAGATTTAACGATGCTGCATATATTTGGGCCAATGGAGTTTTT